AACCACATCAAGTTTCCACATGCCATTTCTATTAATACTGCTCCAGTTCCATGGCCCGGAGCCTCTCACTGCATATTGCCAAAGCTGCACTGGATTGAAACTCTAAGAAGGGTTTGGACAGCAGAGTGGAGTTACCTAGCTGGACTCTGGCCAGGACACTGTCAACTAACATCTTCCCTCTTACAGTGACAGTGACCTGGGAGCTCAGACACCCCCATACAGCCAGCAGCCTGATAGTTAACACAGATGGGGTTCTTTTAACCCAAACACCCTGTCTGCAGCAACACACGCAACCCCTAGTGAGCTCAAGGGCTGTTTCTGAGACAAAATTTTATCTGAAGTCATACACAAACCAATATCCCCTGATGCCCCAGCTTTTCTCTGCCCACAAACTGGCCTCTTTAGCTCACATATGCTTGCACATGTACGTGAGGATTGCAGAATCTCTGAGATCAACACTTAGCTGTAGTCCTCCCTGTAGGACACTGAGGTCTGTAGGCTGCCACACGTACAGAACAAAGCCCATGCTCATGTCCAGAGATGTATGAGACAAGGCACAACATCGCTGGAAGCTTGCACCACAGAGAACTGCAGTCGTCCTTTATAGGGCTCTTCAGAACAAGGAATAGGAACAGAGCTGCCACAGCACATGTATCTTGGGATTCAGCCACCGTGGAGTAAAAAGCAGTCCAAGGCTTTCCAGGGAATCACACCACCTCTGGAGTGACTCTGGAAACCACATCACCTTTAGGCAACACATGCAAAGGTAGCTCATGTTATTTAAAAAATATCCTGTTATCTAAGCACACTTAGTACATATAATTAGTGCACGTATTATGGATATAGAGAATACATTACTGTTACAGATAATGCTGTAATTCCTGGATTTTAAGATCCATTTTAACATCAAACACTGGCTGACTGGAGCAGCGCTCCCCTCCCCTGGCATACATGAAGCACCACCAAGTGCTTATATGTGCACGCTCACAGGCAGTTTTGGACATGTTGCAGCCTCTCATTATATAACCAAGTCCCTTTGATGTGTCTGTTTGTTGCCTGGAAATCAGTGTCAGACTTCCACGGTCCCAGGGAGCCTCAGGTTAATTAAGTTTATCGTTTCTACATGGTGCCAGGTATGATCAGGCAGCCAGGTGGCTGCAGCCTGGTGGCAAGTCCTCACGGTTTTATCACTTCTTCCTTATCACTTTGTCTTAAAACAGCTATTTCAAGGGGAACCAGTAAGGAACTTCGGAAGACGGACCAAAATGTCCTTTTAAAACCACCATGTGTCCAGAGTCTAATAACTGAAACCCTGCCAGGGTTCTTGTACTCTGACTTCTGCTCCGTGTTTAGTGTCTGAACCCTGCCAGGCTTCTTGTACTCTGACTTCTCTCTAGTTCTTTGAAGGGATGTGATGACTGCAAGTTCAGTTCAAAGTTCCCCTGCTGTTTCAAGGGAGGGAGCAGAAAGAAACTCAAAGACATTAAAACACAGGAGTACCTACGGTGGTCTTGAGATCTGTAGGATTTATTTGATCATCTGTGGTGCTAGTGGGCAAGGAGCCATGTGTACTCCAGCAAGGGATGAGAGGGTACCACTGCCCTAGTGATGAGATTGGGCTGGAATGGCCTCAAAGTTGGATTTTCCCATTTGATCGAGCCCCAGTGTGCTAAACAAATTGGTGTCACTCTTGGAGGTAGCCTAGAGGAACACACAATACAATATATGGAAATGGAACAAAATCCAGGCACAGGCATGGCTGAGGTGCAGCAGCTACCAACAAGTATTGAGCTGCCTTGCTCAGGGCAGCATCAGAAAAAAAAAATAAGGTAAAGGTGGAAAAGGGAGTGGAATTTGTTATCTAGGTTCAACTATGTCTACATGGCTTGAGCACAGCCGTGTAAAATGTGTCATGTCTGAACATTCAGCCTCTGCAACGGTTGGCCAAATTCAGGTGAGGTGATATCAGGCGGTGGGTACTCATTGGCGCCCTCGGGGAAAGAGGAGGGCAGGGCCCTCTTGGAAGCAAGAAGGTTGAGTCACTGGGCTCTGTTCTCCTACGAGCAGTCATGCAACACGAGAGATTAGATGTGCAATCTGTACTGCTGCCAACGTGGTAAACGAATAAAGGAGGTTGCAAAAGAAACGGAAACTCATTAGGATGAAATTGTGTGTGAAAGTGAGTGGAAGCCGTACTACGGAAAATAATAGAAGAATAAAATAATAATAATAAAATTAAAGGAGCCAAAATTTTACAGGTTCTTAAGTTACAATACATTGCCAGAGCTGTTTGTTAGACACTAAAAATACTTCCCCACTTCCTAGTGAATACAGAGTTACATCTAAAATTTTCTAGATCAGAGTCACTGAATAACAACTAACTTCAGAAAAATGTTTAACTTTGAAAATTTTCTCTCTTCTTCATTTAACAGTTTTTAGCTTCTCTGAAATTTGGTGAGAGTTTGAGAATCTGTAGGAGTATGTAGGGCTTGTGTCCACCTAAAAATGATCCATAATCTACAGGGATTACCAAATGTATTAGCATTCTACGCTGCAAAAACAGGGAAACTCCCTGAAGTTTCTTAGACGTGCCCTTCTAATGAACACCCTACATGTACAAGGAATTCTAAAAATCCAGTCCTTTGATTGAGATAGTTTTGATATGTTCACTCTCATATGGTGAACTCTTCCCTGGTGCTCCACCCTGTCCTTGTAGGATGCTGGAACAACCCCATACATCGCAGCTGAAATGTATCCTGGAAATACTAAGATTGGGCATTTTCCTCTTGGAAAGAGGCACGTATGAAGATAAAAGTCAGTCCTGAAAAAAAAAAAAAAAAAAAAAAAAAAGGACACAGATGAAGAAATGTAATACATCCCTGACAAAGAAAGTGCAGGTCCCACAGATGGCTGACGGGTGCTGACAGTCCTGCACGCAGCGATGCAACTCACAGCTCTGGAATCCCCAACTGGAATTTGCTCTGGGATATGTCACTGGCTCCTTGTGTGTGGCTGCCAGCAGCCACAGAGAGGAGAGCAGTGCCTCCTGGCAGTGCAGAGGGGCGGATCACACATCAGGCAAACCAACTACTCACATTAGTACTCCAGCAGCTAATGGCAGCTGGGATTCAGCATTTTCCAAAATGTCTGGAACAATTAAGCCTTTTAATCCAGCCTTGTCTAGTACTCTGGTTGTGACCTGGGACTAATATATAGGAGTCTGGAGATCAGGTTAGATGTTCATAATTAATTGCTACAGCATATGATTGCTTGAGCCATAGGTGTGCTCATCCTTCCTCTGCATCTTCTGACCTTCTTATCTCAGCGTTCTCCCAATGCAAAGTGGTGTAGGCCAAAACACAAGGTCTCTAGAAGCTGAAACCTCATGCCTACAGATCTACATTAATAAGAAACCGATAGCTGTGTTTCTGCCCTGCTCGGTACCAGATTGGCTGTGTCTTCCAGCCTGCTCAGAGTTAGCGCTAATGCCCCTTCACTGGAATTTGGCTTTGCTGTGGGCATCAGTCTGACAGAGCTTACACTGCTAACACCCACTAACACCATAGGGCGTGCAGGAGCTGAAAATCCAGTAAGAGGGACCTGTTGAACGCTTCTGAGACTACAGTTTGCCTGAGTAATGGCAGCATCCTACATTTGAGACATTAGTCACAGAGATTAGTTTGCCACTAGCTGTATCTTAACTAGCAAAAAAAATGTAAATTAATATAATATGAAATACTTACGTGAGCCTCCAGAAAACCAGAAGTCCTCTTTAAAACACTGTGGCTAATGCCAAAGCCAGTACCATGCCTTCTTCCTGATCCCACCAAAATCATTTCAACCCTATGTGAGAAGGCACAGTCCCTACTAGCAAGCTAAAAATGAAAAGCTGTGTGTTTAGTGGCACTTTCCTTTACTCTCCTATTGAGGAGTCCTCCCACCTGAATTTAAATATTTTTGCTAAGTTAATTTTTCATTGCAAGGAAAAAACTAACTGATGTTAAATAACAGCCTGGGCCTCTATTACTGCAGCAACAAGTCCGAGTAACATTAAAATGTCCTCCCCAGACATTTTGATTTAAACAAAAAGTTACTCATAACTACCCATCTTACAAATGTTCTTTAAAGGTTGAGGTCAACCCAGGAGGCAGCAGTGAGGTAATTACAGAAGGGAAGAGGCTATATTTTCTCAAGAGACAGAAATACTATTTTGATTTGCTAGCAATGATCAGGAAAATTGTATTTCATGAAAGCTCACGTTTCTTCAGGTGAATCACTGTGGCAGAAGATTATCCTTCCTAGCCCAGTGCCACTGGAAAAGTGAGGCATATTAAACATATAAAAACTTGCATACTACCTTTCTTCCAGCTGAAGTTTCAAATATTACCAAGGATCATCATTATTTTCTAAAATCTCTGTTCTTACTTTCAGAGGTTGGATTATTATTATTTTTTAATACAGATGAAGTCTAACACAAGGAAAAGTATTTATTGGTGGTGTCTGTACATAAAGAGAACAGACAGTGGAACTTCAAAAGAAAGTACAGGCAGCGCTGAGCATAAGTGTTTTAGCTGCTTGAGGAAGGAGTCCAGTCCTGGGCATGCATACAAGCTTGGACAAGCCATTTTATCTCTATGTCTCAGTTTACCTACACTAAAAAGAGTAAAATGTGCTTCAAACTACAGGAGAAATGGGAGGATTGAAGTTTGCAAAGTTTCCTGACATCCCTTGATGAGATTGGAAAGCTGAAGCTTTGTAAAATAATGAAAATCTGGAAATCTTGCTGCCCATCATTATGACATTGATGAAAACCTGATGATGATGTATTTCCCTCAGATCAAAATGTTGCATGCTCTGGCTGAGAAAGCTGAATTCTGCAACGTTGCAGTTTTGTTAAAACTGCTTCATAGGCGAGACTGCCTAGATCCTGTGAATGGTCAGTCTTTGATAAAAGCTTAGCATTTACAGAAAAATCTAGTTAAATACAGAGAGAGAGAGAATATTTTGAGTACATTTTGAAGTTTATTTTACTTAATAATTTTTAGGTTAAAAGTATAGTACATAACCAAGAAGTGCATAGCACTGAATTCATCCCTTTGGCTAGCACAGCTCAAAAAGGGGCAAAGAGACTATTGAGACACCTCTGTGCAGAGTACGTAACATCTATTGGTAACACTTGTGTAGAAATCTGTGTGCAAATAAAGTCTATACATCTTCAGCTATGCCAAGTGTAGTCTGCTGTGTAAAAACAAAATCAAAAAATATATATAAATATACAGCTGTGTGACTTTTTTTCTTATATACACTATATCACATAAGAGTAAGATGTGGATGAGTTTGCAGTCGCTTAGTAGAGATAAGAATTTCATGACACAGGGCTTTGCAAACACGTCCTCAGCACTTTTTGTCTTGCACCATTGTTATAAAAAAGTTGCAGAAGGAAAGCAGACTCTCTGGACAGTATTCCTCAGCCACCTTCTTCTGATCAATGTAATCGACGTCTTCGACACAGTCTTGGGAGCTGTGCTCTAGCTGTTTGCCAGGCTCAGAGGCAGCGGCTGGGACCTGTGTCACTTCTTTTTTGTGGTGGGTTGCATCCCCTTTCGCAGGACCCACTGACGCCAAGAGGCTTGAGCGTGTCAGTATGAGGTGAGCACTTTGTGGGCCTTTCCTGCACACTTTGGATTTGAGGATGCTTCTGGGGTCCTGACAGATCTGCTTCTGCTTCTTTAAGGATCGGGAGACTTGCTTCCAGTAGGATTTCTGGTTTGCTGCGTAGTGTGGACAGGTGGAAGGGTCTCCAGAGAACTCACACCAGAACTTGCTGTCGCTGTTGGTGCACTCGACTCGTATGGTAGCAGCATCCATGCCGGTCACTGCCCAGGTACACTCAGCATTTTCTTTGGTTTTAAATTTGCCTTTAGGAGATGCTTTTCCTCCTTTTGGCTTCTGCCCTTTTTCTTTCTCTTGGTTTGATTCAGTCTGTTTTTTTCCACTGTTTTCTATGCCTTGTCTTCCCTTTTTTCTTTCCTTCTGTCTTTCACAGCTGGTTAGTAGCATCTGGGAGACCAGAATCAACACACAAAGAAGTCCAAAGTTTTTGATTCTCATGGTTTCTGTTTTGCCTGTTATCTGCCTTCAAAACAGAAAAACATACATGTATTAAAATATTTTCACTTCATACTGGACTCCATATGTCAGATGCATGCAGTATTTCAGACCTGCTATTGCACTGCTCCTTGATACCTATGAAAATGATGTTACTGGCAAGATCCTCTGCCCTTTGTGTGCCTGATACTTGGTTTCTATAACAATTATATATTTTTTTTTGAGAAACATAGCTGGCTATGAGGTATGTCCTTCTGATCCAATTTCTTAATTACCTAAACAGTGTGGAACAGAAGAGACTCTTTCCCAGGACATGCCCCTACCCAGTGACTGAGGTACCCTAAAGTCCCTCCTGCAGTCACAGAACAAATTTGACCAGTGGACTTGTCAGTCTCAGATCTTATGTTATACCATATAAAGCAACTCTTGTGCCCATGATCTCCTATGTTGTGAATGTCACATAAACGATTTTGACTCCAACCTTTGGCTTTTCTTCAAAAATGTGCCAAATAGAAAGGAAACCATGTGATTTAAGTTGAGCATAATTATTTCCTAGGCATCCTTCAAATTGACTTAATTCACTAGTTGTGCCAGCACTTAAGTTTTTTATTGAAAAAGAAAAAAGTAGCTTTTTCATACACCAAAGAAGCAACTTCAGCTGCATTCTTTACTGCCTTGACTGTTAAACAAACAGAACTACTTTTTACTTTTGAAAGCACCTGCAGTATACTTGGCTGTGTCTAAAGCTACTGGGCACAGAGTATATTTATTTATGTAGGTGTTTCTCTTTATGAAGCATCTGCCAGGATCAAAGCTCTGGCAGAGCACACCATAATAGTAGAGGGCTTAAATGCCACATTTAGTGGATTGGATCCCCAAATGTAATGTTCAGATGTTTCCATCACAGACATTTCTGTAATCATGTTAGAAAGCAGAAATCCATGTACAGGCGTGTTAGAAGGAACCTATTTCAACATTCAATCCTCTGCAAATACCTTTAGTTACATATGTGTATTAATCTAGAACACATAGGCAGCAGTATAGAAGCAGCTCCCATTTTTGCATAGTTCCTACCTGACTTGGTTCATGCCTTATTATACATGCAGAGATTTTCATTGCATGAAATGTGGTATTTACAGTTCTATCGGAAATATGGCAGCTATTAAGATTAATATAAATACTGACATGACAATAACTTTCTGTTGTAAGTAGAACAGAGCAAAAGCAAGATAACTAAAAGACATACCTTGCACAGGATGTGAAGCTAGCCAAATATAACTCAAGATGCAACCTGTCTCTCTCAGAAGGATTGGAGCTACTTGTAAAAGCAGTGTGGTATTTATAAAGGCAGAGACACACCTTCAGGTCTCCAGCAAGACTATTACAACACAATAGGATACTTCAGTGCCTTGTTCGTTTACCTCTGACACACCTCCTTGGAAAAATGCCAGTTCTCATTCTCAGCACACACAAAAATCAGCTATGGTGGGGTGACAAGGTGTGTTTGCGTAAATTAGATGTTACTTTAGCCAAGTCCTTCCCTTTTCATGCACAACGATAAGAACTTTATTAGATCATGAGCTTCTCTAAAAAAGCTTTTCCCAGGCATTGAGAGATGTATCCTGCAACACCCTCAATGAGTTGCACTTCCACTGTGCCTAGCAGAATTTGGGTAGCAGTGTTTGGTGAGTCTTTGCAAAATGAAAATCATTCCACAAAGCACTTCAAAGTTGTTTTTAGAACATTTCATTACCTACTGTCACAGACACACAAAGTATTGGGGAACGTTTTAAAATAAGTAACTATTCTCCATTAAGGACAGCATTAATCATAGCAAGATGATCATAAGCATGAAGTTCAGGAACTGATTGAAGCTCCCTCAGTGACTGTTATGGGGTCTGAGAGCTGGGACCAATTGCACAGCACTGATCCACATGCTTCTCTCTCTGCCAGCATTTCTGTATGCAAAGAAATGGGTTATCGATGAAATTTCATTATTGGATTATGTCTAATATATTAATTTGAAAATGAATATGCCAGTGAAAAAGCGAATATTAGGCAAATATACAAATGCTTATAAATATGCATTCAGAACTGGGAATTGGCTTCCCTTAAAGAATGGATAGAGTAGCAAGCATTGACATTTGTTATGTGTGCTGTGGAAATAGTTCCAAGACTAAAAGGTGGGATGCCAGAAGAGGTGAAAGTAGAAACTGGTATAAGATAAGCAGGTCTTACTCTTCAGCTCTCCCATAGGGTACAAATAGAATGAGACAAAGGGACTAAGCTATAGGGATGGAGTTGTCTGAGCTGGTCTGGCAATGAGGAGACTGTTCATATTCTGGAAAAAAAAAAAAAAAAAATCAGAAGCCAAAAAAGGAAGAAAATGGGTAGCTCTGCAATGTGTGAGTGACAGAAAAGTGGGGAAGAGGATTCATGTACTTGAAATACTAAGGGTCTGACCTGTGTGCCACAACTATCTGCTGAGCCTTCTGTATATGTTCAGCTCCCTGGGGTGCTTCTCATCAAGTTGAGACACTGGACCTGCTGTGTGCACCTTTGACTGGCATGAGGTGGTATGAAACTATTTGCAAAGTCCACTAAATGTGGAAGATTTGTGATTAGCACTGCCAAGGGCTAATGAATAGGGGCAGGGGTGACTCAGGGATCAGAAGATGTTTGACAGTGAGCCAGATTGGATGGGAATCAGAGAACAAAGATAACATAGGAGAGAAGACAGGGTGGGACTATCCTGCTCAGGAATCCCAAACTGACACCACACAGCATGCACAGTAGTGTCTGCAGGCTTTAGCTTGGATCATCAAACAGTGCAGCTGCATTAGTGTGGCCAAGTGCCCAAACTAATGAGCCTCTCACCAGGGCTAACTACTCGAGGGACAGCGTCAAGCCAAAGTGGCTACATACACTACCTCAGGTTCTGGCATGAATTCAGGTATGTCTTTATCATGCTCCATTGCCTTGTGTAAGCACACTACAAATTGATTTTTGGGTGACAGATTCAGGAGCTGGTTTGGGCATATCACCAAAAATAAAACCACAAAACAAACCAATAAAACATTAACCTTTGAAGCCTGCAATCTCTACGCCCTTATCAGCAAATCCATTTCTTTGAATGATCTGACATGACAGATATGGCCTCAGTTTTTAACTTCTTTCTAGTTTCTTTGTTTCTAATCTCTGCCTCCAGCCTCTCCTTCCTTCATTTCTCTCTCTCCCTTCATGAGAACCTGGAAAACAATGCGAAATGTAATCGACACTGGAGATGTTATTTCTCTTTCTTCCACAGGTATTGCCTACCTTCGTCCTTAAGAGCAATGGTATAATTAGGATGTATCTAAAATAGTTGTCTGAATCTACTTTGGCTAAACAACTTCTATAGACAGAGGAGAGGAATGTTACAAAGAAGTATGTAAGGAAGCTCAGGAACTGTTAAAATGAGGAATTATGCTTTCCTGCTCTGGCTCTGCCACAGGCTTTCTCTGAGATGTCTATCAGGAAACGCCTGTCCACCAGATGCTCCTTACCTGGAAAGGAAATATGATGCTTAATCTTGTACATGATGTTACAATATCATTATCATTTTTTTCTGATATTCATAAAATATTGTTTACTGGAGAAACTAATCACAATGTATTGAAAATACTGGAGCCTTCCACCACTCATCACTTTGAAAACTGCCTATTTTGACAGTTTTTGCCTAGCCAAATTGTCAGTCATTGTTAGCTGCCCCATTGTTGATGGTACATATCTTCCTGCTTCATAAATAATGGGGAAGATGGGGAGAGAAAAGGCTGGGCAGAGGCAGATTTGCCTTTCTGCTGCTTTAATATTCCCTCCCTGAGGTCATGGCATCCTGGACACGTTTGGTCCTCCAGCATGGGGAAATGTCTTTAGAGAATTTTGCAGCCAAGTGCTTGTTGATATGGGTGATCACATCTTCGAGATGATCTGTCCTGGACAGACGGACTTCTTGCCTAACCTGCTTAGATGATTTCAAAATCCCAGTTAAAGAAGATTTATTTATTGTGGTGCATGAAATGTAGCCTCATTCTGTGGAGGCTGGCCTGGATACCCTCCAGTTTCATTGATATGTCCCAAGAATATTGCTCTTTACTTTTTGAATTAGACATGGACTGGTATTTTATGGCTACTTTAACTTACCTGACCATGTAGTATCTACTCACATTTCACCCCAGTTATCCTGCTGGGAGCTGCCTCATCACCACTTTCAGGTGATCAGAATATTTGATTTCCTCAGCTTTCATCAGGAAAAGAAAGTACACAAAATTAAAGTAGGATTTTCATTTCCTAATTAATTATGCTTAATCAGCACCTAACTGTCAACAACAACAATAAAAAAACTGCTAAAAAACTTGTTTGCAACATGATTTTCAACGAAAGTATTTTTTTCTTTCATCCATGCACATTTTAAAGTATGTCTTTATCTTGCCCTCTGCTGAGCTGAAATGCTGTTTGCTTGTAAACTGTAAGCACAGTTCTGCCACGGAACAAACGGTGCAGACTAATAACTGGAAAACTGCTCGATCCATGCAACATATGGCAAATCTGAACAGCTGATTTGCCAAGGTCAGATTTATGGGTACCTGTTTACTTATTAAAATCAAAAGACAGGCACATAAAACATTTGGCAGTAGTAGGAAAGAAAAGCAGTAACTGAAAATTACAATTGTGGATACTGAAATCCCAATGTGAGTTTTATATTGAAGAATCTTCAACCATTTGTATCCCTGCTGCCTTTTTGACTGAAAATCAGGGTAGTTAATCAGCATTTTATTTTCATTAGAACTGATAGGATTAAATCTAGCTGGTGTCTTTCTGCTGTTCAAGCAAAGAGGAAGTTTTATCCGTATTCTTGATTGTGATTCATAGGCTTGGAAGACGCACAGTATTTTCTATTTAGTCCTAACATTGCTCATATATTATCCACAAATAAATACAGGTCTTACATAAGAAATTGTTATTGTTTAAACCATTTGTTATTTGCGCTGGTGCATTAATTGCAAAGTGCAATTTGCTTGTGGTGTCATCTGTGTATCATTGTGAGCCTCCTGCTCATATAGACACTTTTCCCCAAAGAATAAAAGGTTGCTTACAAACAGTAAACAGTTGATGAATTTCCTTGACCATGTGAAAATACAGCTATACTTATTAGCTATATTTAGATATATCACATCTACCTAATACAGAATATTAGCTATTTGTGAGTCACACATGTGGGCACTAGGATTTTGTTCTCCATGCAAATGCTCAGACAGAATGAATTAAAATAGATTCAGCAAGGGAACAGTTGTTTACACTTCAAATTAATGCTCGTGAGTACAGTTCGGCAGCATTCAAGCAATTCTGGTGATGGAGAGTGACTCACAGCACCAGGTAACGTTCCAAGGATATAAAAGGAATAATTTATTTCAATGGTGCTCAAGGGACATCTGAAGGATCAATCCCTTTGTCACGACTTTCCTTTTAGCACACAGGCTTCCTTGAAAACTGTGTCACTTGGCACAATGTGCCCCGCAGCAGTTCCCTGCAGTACGTTGCAAACTTTGTTAAAAGGACGGGATCAGGCATGTGTATTACAAACCTCACTTCATGCTTTTAAATATAGACTAGAAGTGAATATGTATTTGGTGCATGACCTGAAGAAAGAATGACATTAAGCACTCTACAGACTAGAGTTCTTTTAAAAATTACCAACCTGACCATGTCGATGATGGTAAGCTGCAGTTACTTTCAGTGGTTTTATTATTATTACTATCATTTTTTATTACTTGTTTTTAATTTTATCTTTTTATGTGACTAGCATTCAACGTTTTTCCCTTGAGTAAAGGAACGCCATCAATACATGTAAATCAGACACTTTCAGTGTATAGGCACACACGTTCTGAACATGCAATTCTTACTATAATTAAAACAGACTAGTCTATTCCTGCACAGTTTATTAATGACATTTAATCATTCACAGCCTGTAGGGGTACACCATTTTGCTGAAAATATCTACTGAAAGACTCCGTATGTTAACAAACATGACAATCATACCCATACCTCCAAGTGCAATATCCCGTTTAGCATGATGGTGGGTTGCTCTCCAGCTCCTCACTTCCATTCCCAGCTGAAAAAAAAAATCAGGTGTAACTTTACTTCTTTTTTCACTCTGTGAATGTAGTATCTACAAAAGACAGGAAGACAGCAGCCCTAAACACTGAAGCCCCTTTACATAGCAGCAAGAAAGTTGTCACATAGGCAGTGGCATCAATGACAGCTTTTTTGCATTTCACCGTCCATGCCCAACAGGTCGGAATAATCCACAGCTTATTGGCACACCTCTGGAAGATGCTAGTTCACCACAAACACACTGACAGCTTCAGTGCTTTGAGATCTGTTCACTATTTTACATGGAGGCATAACTATTTGAAAGGAAGCAGAAGCAAACTCATCAGCTAACTAATTTTCAGCCACTTCTCACCTAGAGTTAAATTCCTATTAGTAAAATAACTATACAAAAAGGCTTAGATTCACTCTTTGGTGCAACTGCAACAGTGCCCAATTATTTCACAAACTGGCTCAAACTAAAATCTTAATCGGAAGAGGAACATCCTGGTGAAAACTGATATCATAAAACCCAGATGAGGAAAAAAAAAATAGCTGATTCAAACAAATGTTAGCTTTAAGTTACTGAGAGAACAGCAGAAACTGTATGAGAGTTGTGTAATAATTATAAGACAATAAAAGCAGAGCACCTTGCAACACTAAAAGGCAAAGTTCTTTTACAGCAAAACAGCACAGCATACGTTCACGCAAAGGTTCCCACTACCATTTTAAACAGGGTTAGTCTCTGTTTATTTGCTGCGTTATCTTGGCAAGATTTTGATTAAAGTACCCTGAAATTCATTACTGCCAAGTTGCTGTTTCTCTTCAGCCTGGCCCCCATGGGCTCCCAGCTCACCCCTGGCCACCAGTGCTGGTCACCGGTTACCCACTGAGTGCTCCCATGAACTAATGCACAGTGAGAGAAGGGTGAGTTTGTTTTCAGATCCACAGAGAATTGCTTTATCTCTTAGGCTAGGGTAGCTGTTTGAAAAAATGTAAATGGTTTTGATGAATTTGAGCCAAGGATGCCAAGGATGGAGCACAGCGGTTAGGAATGTGCTTCAGAGATGTTGAGGAAATTTCACCAGATGACATGGAGGAAAATTCTGAGGACCACATGCACACATGGGATGGAATAGTTTGCTGCCAAATGGGGCTGACAGGTGTTTTTAGTTTTGTCAGGAGGAGGCTGCTCAAATTCAAACAAGGATAGTAAAAGCTGAGGTGCCTGCTCTCCCTTATTTTACTATGAAAGTATGTTGAACCAAACTTCAAGAAAGTTTCCCTTTGAGACAATTCAAAGACAAAACAATATTTATAAATAATTGCAATTACTAGCTAACATGACTACTCTCATCTACACATTTGTTAAATACTATTTAATAAAGATAATTGCTACTATACAAAGGTTAGTGAAAAACATATCCTGAAATAAGCAGATCCTAAGATTTTGATCCCTGCTTATTTGCATCTGATAATCCTATAGGGTCACCAAAGAAGAGAGAGGATTAGATCAATACAAATCCTGGAGTTCTTAGGCTACTCTCTCTTACTCAGAGATAATCACAGAATTTAAATGTCCTTTACTACAAAAGAAAAAAAAAGTTTTTCCTCTTCTTTAAATTTAGCTTTCATAGAATACTAAGGCTATACTTGATTAAAAAGAAAAATAATAGAAGAAATATCGTTTAAAATGGAGTGATACTATACAGAAATGTGTTCTTCATACCGATTTTGCCAAAGTCAGAAAGAACTTAACCTCAAACACTGAATTTTACATATTTTTGTTTAATTTTGGCTTTAATGGAAGTTAACACTTCCATTATCTCAATCATGGCTAAAGATTCTCCAAGCGCAATCATACAATTCTCTGTGGTTTTATTTGAGTGAGCTGGCAGCTTGATTTGTTAGCACTGATTCACCATATTCAGGGCACACTCAAGTTGTCTTGGCAGCCAGGGAAAACAACTATTGACTGCTTGCCATGTGAACTTTTGTCTACTGAGATTTTTATAGCTTAGAGCAATGCAAGAGCCTGTCTGTCTGACCAAAACAGCTTCAGAGATACAATCAGACAAAGGATTATTCTCTTAAGAACCATAAAATGAGTAAAATAATAAAAAGATGCCATTGTAAATTATTGTCTGCCAGCAGATGGGAGTCTACCCAGGGTAATGGTGAGCCAAGCACGTCAACAAGAAGGAAGAACTGTGCTCAGATGAAATCATCACACAGGTCTGACTGGGACACAAGGGACTGTTTTACGAGCAGTTCTCTTTACCATAAGCACTGAATTTAACATTCCAACAACCAAAAAAAATCTTTCAGCTGCCATGAATCCTGATCTCTCTTTAAAGCATTGCAGGAAAATATTATCCAACTGAATGGCCAAAAAAAGCCTTTGCACTAAGGCAATGGCAATGCTGGTGGTGTTGCTAAAGGAAGACAAGAGTAAGAAATGACATTCAACCTCTTCTAGTTGTAATCCACCCATTCGTAAAAGTAAGATTTTTTCTTAGTCCTTGACATTTGAATTAAGCACTTGTTTTAGTTTTTTTCTCTGGTATACACAACAGTCTCTACTGAATTACTTTTTTACAGGCAGCAAAGCTGTTAATCGATCCTGCACAGATGAAGTGAGCCAAGATCAGGTGAGGGCTACGGTGTGGTTTGGAACATTTCAAGTATTGACCAGATCAGCAGTGAAATTCACCTGCACCTCGGCATGCTTGCAGCATGATACAGAATGAAAGCAAAGGGAGTTAGAGTGTGTACAAGCCAGGACATGATACATTAGAAAGAAGTCTTTCCTAGCTGCTGACCACTTTTTCAAGGTTGTCCTTAGGCTTCTATAAACCATCTGTGATCTGAACTGATACAATCAACAGTGGGTTTTTGTTTGTTTGTTTGTTTTCAAGCAAGCTGGAGCAATTATCTTTTCTAGCACTCACTTCAAGAAATCAAAGTGATTTGGACTTCCTTCCCAGTTTTTCTCTATCACAGCCCTGGTCAGAACAGCTGGGCTTTCAATCGTGTATTTTTGCTATCAGGGATAGCTCCAGGCTTTAGCTGCTCTCTAGATCCCTTCCATAAAGCTTTAAGCTGGTCTGTGAATAAAGTAAGCTGTATCCGTAAACTTGTATATTTGTGCATATACACAAATGTATATATAATATACAATATTATATACAATATGCAATAATATTGAATAGTTTTCTCCCTTTCATTTTAGGCCATTAATATTAGTAGTTTTATTTATATATTTGTTGAAATAAAGGGTGTATTTATTTGTGCGTGGAGTGAGAAGAATAGATGAACTTACCCTAACTGAGAAAATATATTGCATAAACTCCTATAAGCTTATCAGTGCCTGGCAATTTTGTGGTCTTTAGCACTGGTTCCAAGTACAACAAGACATTTCTAGCACTTGATAAGGAATAAACATTTATTTCCTTTATTTCAAGTACACCTTTTAAATATAGTGGGGAAACAGAAATCAGGAACTAGGAAATTGTTCCATGAATAGGAAAGCAGGAATGGAAACCAGGGACTTTGAGGTGTATGAAACGGTGCTGGGTCTGTCTGGGATGGAAGTCATTTTTTTGTAGCAGCCCATGTGGTGCTGTGCTTTAGATCTGTGACCACAGCAAGGCTGATAACACACCAGTTTTAGCTACTAGTGAGCAGTGCTTGCACAGCGTTAAGGTTTAGTTGTTTCTCATTCTGCCCCCAACCACGAGGAGGCTGGTGGTGCACAAGACATCAGGAGAGGACACGGCCAGGACAGCTGACCCCAACTGACCCACTGATATTCCATACCATTTAAATGCCATCCTATGCCATAAAACTGGAGAGGGCTCTTTCCAGCGTAGCTACTGCTTGGAAAGCGTCTGGGCATCAGCCTGCTTCTGAGGGGTAGAGAGTGACTGTCTTTGCATTACTTGGTGGTTTTCTTTTTCTCTTTCCTTCACTAAATTGTGCTTATCTTGCCCCTCAAGTTTTTCTTGTTTTTGCTCTTCCATTTCTCTCCCCAACCCACTGCGGTGAGGAAAGTAGGTTGCTAGCAGTAGGTGCTTAGTTCCTGGCTGGGTCTCTGTCCACCACAGAGACTTCAATCCTGCAAATACATAATAAAATTTTTGATTTCAGTGGATTTCAGCTGGAAAGGAATTGACAGAGAGCTCACTCCAAGTACAGAACTTCTCCTAACTAAAAATATGATGGCAAAGCTATGCTGATAGTGCCCTGGCTCCATGCCTCTAAGCCACCACAGTTACATCAGCAGGGACAGTGATAAGATGCAGTCACAGTTGCAGTTGTGACAACTCCTTTTTTTATTTAGATTACTGTATTTGAAGAAATTATTTTATCTATGTGGAGAAAGTGTTCTTGGGCTAATAGAAGCTATGCCTCCACAAACACCGTCAGCCACCATAACCAGCCCTATGCACTAACAACTTGTCTATAAAGTTTATCCTCTGTAATCTTTGGGTTATCCTTGGAACATAGCAAAAACATCCTTTAAATGCACGTTGGTTGTAGGGCTCAAGAGCTCACATCTGGAAAGGGCTCTGAAAAGTCCTGCTGGAAGCTAAACCAGTCAAAAACCTGTAAAGGTTTGTGTCTTACAGCTACTGTGAAGATGCTGAAAGCTCCCAGCCCACACATCTGACATGTCTCTCTGAAAGCATATAGAAGGGACAAAGGGAATGGACAAGTCTTCTTTTAAATCTTTCTGTTTCTTCGTACTGAGATCAGGATGTTTGGATATATAGCAAATAAAGGCTAACGACAAATAAATATTTTTTTTTACCCATTTTTCCAAGGTCTAGTGCAACCTGTATGGTTAGCAAAAGCTAAAAGGACACATCCCTCAGCATTTTTGATAGATTTAGGGCTTGCTCAGTTAACTGAGAGAAGATATGACATCTCTGATGATGCTGTTCTTGAAAAGCTTGTTTTTCTTGGATCATTTTTAACTCTACAGCTCCTCCATGTGGAGATCATTTACAAACAAGAAATTAATAATCCTAAATACTAGGTATTATTAATGTTTTATTATTATTATTAATTGGTTTTGCAAAGGATTAGCAGTATTCTAAATATTTAGGACATTTTAAAGAGAAATTTAACACTTTTTAGCCAGACTGAAGTCAAACCATTTTCTGAAAACAGATGACAGGACATCAGAATGCCACCGCTAATGCCGTGGTGTTACAAGTATAGTGTTACAATTCCAATTAACATTAAAACTACCCTTTTCCCCCCTGTTGTCATATGAAATACTGGAATTAACTTTTTACCCATGCTTAATTCTATTTGTTCTTCTGTGGCTGCGTGGGAATGTCACATCTACATTTTACCTCATGCTGTCAGGGAGTTTGGTGATTTTCTCCTCTGTGTTGGTGAAGAGGATCATTTTCCTAGTTAACTAACCTGGGTGGGAAGAGGGCTGACGGCTGTATCTAGTAGAGAACAGTCTTCATATAACTGCTTCCCACACTGCCTATCCACAGCTTTCATATACTGAGTCCAATATTATTTCATGCAATATTTAAAACAATTATTTATGACACCACCCTCTCATCTTTTCAGGAGGAACAAGTGCAACATGAAGAGAGACTGTTTGTCCCCTGCCCATTCTCACAGCTGAACTGGAAACCAGCAGTGTTCTCAAAGAGACTCCAGATATCTCTCATTCCTCACAAGAACATCTGGCACGTGCCTGTAACTCAGAAAAGGTTATATTTTAACAATTTTGACTGAATGTTTGAGGCTCAGTAGAAAATAGAATAAAATATAGAAAGAAGACAGACTTCAGATACTGCTAGATTTGGCCTGAAAGCCACCTTATTAATGTCTGATGGTCTGAACTCACTTCCACTACTGATGGTAAAAGTGTCTTTCCTGGTGCTTTTGCAAATTTTTTTCTTTAAGCCAGTCCTCAGAATAGGTAGGTGTTAGGATTCATGCTGTTAACTGTGGTCATGTTTTGACCACAGATTTTAAAACAAATGGAGCTAGCCAATTCCTTCTGAGAACGGAATTTTATAGCCTTCTGAGATACAGCTGAGCTCAGCAAAGAAACCCTAGTCCTTCCACATTTCAGCACCATTAAAAACCCAAAGCTGCCCCGAAGCAGGGTAAGATGCTCACTGAAACATTCTCCATAGCTATGGTCCATTGAACAAAAGGTCTCTATGGGTGCTCCATCAGTATGGTAGGGAGTGAGATAGGGTGCATCAGACAGGCTTCTTTCACTCCAGCATTAGGCTAAAGGAGTAATGGTTTTAATTAAATATAAACATAACTACACCAGAGAAACACTGCTGCATTCAGATGGGAGATTTATATTAAACTGTGCTGGCACACATCGGCCAGTCTGAATTCACTGGGCACACTGTATATATTAATCTGTACTTAGCAGCATGACTGTTTTACAGCTGGAAGAATTAATGAGATGCAGACAAACAGATATGCATGCAGATAAAATTATAAGCAGCAAGACCTGAGAAAGAGAAGGAGCCTGTGGTGCAGAATTTGATTATATTATCTAATACACTTAGCCTATTGATTACAAAAACAGTAAAACTGTGAAAGCTTATTCATTTCCAGAGTGTTCCCACAGAACAGCAGCAAGGTATCTTTGAAAGCAGTGGAAGTGTATTAAAGAGACAATCAGAAATAACTTTTCCAGGGGAGAACTGCAGAGGGATACCTGATAGAAGACTTGCCCTTCTATCTCAGTTTGACAATCTCCCCAGCTTGCCAATGCCTGACACCTAATGCCTCAGAAGGTCCAGGTCAAAGACCAATATGTTGAAATGAGGAAATCTGTTCCCTGTCTTAACTACAGATCAGAATCAGATTGTTTATGGTTCTTCCAAAGGTTCCACTGGCAAAAACTTGATTCTGGCCAAACACAGTGGCAAAACTGCCACTGTACAATGAGAAGAGGCTTTAGGCACTGCTGTGATCCTCGTTGCTTTAAGAGCCAACTCAGGTGCAAAATTAGCAGACTGACTATGCTGCTTTTGCTGTTGGTGGAGCTGAGGGAGGGTATAGACGTATTGGGCTTGCACTGTTCATTTCCCATCCCTCTTTGCATCCCCTCAGAATCTTCACAAAGCACCAGGGCTCAGCTGTGCTTTGCTGGCCTTTCCTATCAACCTGTCCCCTTCACCAACACAGATCGCCTTCAGCTCCCTCATAAACTCTCAGGACTCTGGGAACGAACAGACCTGATGCTTCACATTGGCATCACCCAGGGCCCTATCTGCCACCAGACAGCATCTATCCTATCCACATAGAAGTCAAGAGCTCACTCTACCTATGGCCAACTTTATCCAGCAAAAACATGCGTGTGTATTAATTTATTTGTTGAATACTGACACAGGCACACACATACAGGTAATGGGTGGCTCTGCTTGAGAACATGTTCAAGTTCTGAAGTTGGGGCCTGTGATGGATTGACTTTATTTTCCTATGTGCACTCAGCTAGCAGAATTACAAAAATGTGTTAAATTTTCATTTTTGCTTAAATACACATGCAGTACTATTTAATATACTAGCTTCTGTCTAAATGTCTGCTCTCAGAGGCCCCCTTATATGTCTCTGTGTTTCCTAACCTTGTAAAGGTGGATAATAATACTTGTCTATGTCAGAGAGATGTAAAGGAAGTTAATTTTGTATTTCTTTCTTTCTTTTTTTTTTTTTTTCTTTTTAATATCCTGAAATGTATGAATAGCAGACAATGCAGAAATCAAATGCATTACAATTTTAAACAATTTATACAACTGAGAAACTAACTTCTTTTTGAATTCAGTATCCTGCTGTGTTGTTTCCCTTCCCAGGTCTACAGGCCAACAAGTGATATGCTTATAGAGAGTTGTAGATAGCACCCTAGTAATTATATTGTTATATGTCTCTTTAAATAGCCACAATTATTTTAGTTTTGAATAACTTCAGACAATACAGGGGAAAACACAGAAACGATGATGACAGAAAATTAATTACCTGAGAATTTCCTTTTCAGATGGATTTCTTTCTCTGAGATGTTTACAGCGTGCCTTTCTTCTCACAGATACTCAAAGCACACTTCTACACAGGTTTTTAGTCCTTGACAGTATATTTTCTCTGGTTATTGAAATCCCGTGGAAACTGTAAAGTAGTTGAACTCTGCTCTTTGCTATCTGAGTTCAACCAAGTATGTGGATGTTTAAGAAGGACCATTATATATGCAGAAGAATAATGTGTCTGATGATAAGGATATAAGGTGATCTTCCATTTTGGATCCTGGGTTTTCCCTGAGCCAGAAACATTAACATTGCAATCCTCTACAAAAAAAAATGATCATTAATAGCGAGGAAGAAAAATGAGTTTGCCCACTGCATCAAATCACTGTGATTGGTTTATTGTAATTCAGATGAAGTGTGTCCTGCCAAAGGACACTGCTGCTGCTGAGGTGAAATAAGTGCTATATAAAAAGTTATCTCCACTGAAGGAAAACAGTGTTTTTGATTTCTTTCTGTTGCTGGCTCACTCTGAATAAAGATCATGCGATTAGTATAAAGCAAAACCCAAAGCTATTGAATTGATTCTGACTATTAAAAAGATTTCAGGCCCAAGAAGGCAGGGGAAAGCAGATGGCTACAGATGATGTTCATTATCAGTACTCATGAATGGCTCTTACCTCTTATCTTATTGTAAAAAACGTCACCTGCCGCCCTGGTGTAGCTTACCAGCACAGCAGATGTTGTCTAGATTTCTACAGAGGGGTTTCAATGGCTGGTCTTGAGACATCTTTCTGAAGAAGGAAAGCAGTACAGGATGGGTCATGGGGCATAGGGGAGCTTGAGGCAGGCTCAGGGGAAGATAGAGACCTTGTCCTGACATACCACATCTCCACAGCCTGCTCAGGCACGTACCCTCAGGGTAAACCACCACTCACCTCACAGCCCAAGTTCATCAGCACATCACCTGCTCTGGCCTCCAGCCCCTGGCAGGGTCCCACGAGCCAGACCTGCCCCAAGCACTGCTGCTCCCAGCAAGACACTGCAGAACAGCCCAAATGGCTTCATCTGCAGGCAAACCATCGTTCTCACTGGTGCTTTGGACCCCAGAGCCCAACCTAGCCCTCAACCCCACAAATTGGCAACATGGCCCCGCAGCACCACAGAGGCCTCAGACCTGCGCCATGGAGGGTTCAGTCAGGAGATGACCCTCATGGAGGCCATGCTTCTTTTTGCCCACACAAGAATGGATGCTGTTCAACACCTGAGCTCCAGCTTCTCTTGTGTCTGAGAGCAATTTTAGGTAATTTAGGTCTTAGGTAATGCTTCCTGCACATACGTATGGAAACCCTACTTTGTGCTTCCCTCCTGTGATCTTCCAACACTGACCAAGCCTCCTGCACAATTGTGTGGGCATCAAATAACATTTCCAGCCTGCAAACACTAATATGGGGATTCTCACATTAAATTTCTGGGATATACAAGACAGGGGATCAGCTCAGTACCTCACTGACGGCACCCGTGTGGTCTGCATCTGCTCTAAGAGCAGGGCGAGAGAAAAGGGCAGTCGGCCGCTCTCCTGCCCCACTGCTGGGCTGTTTTGACAGAGCAGTCTGCAAGATTGAGCCTGGGTTTTGCTAACCATTTCCTTCAGCGGGAAGTTTCCAGCCCACTTCAGGTCCTAGGTGAATTCCTAATTTTATTACCACCATGTCTGCGGAGAGGGCCTCCTCACACCACGTAGGCCAGTAAGACAAATAAAGGGGGTAACGAATTTCACAATTTGCACATTAATTTTTATGGGTGGCAGCAGCAGTGACAGAGTAATGCAGTTCCTTCAGCTCAGCAGCCAGCAGACCTAACAGGACGCCTCTGTTTTCTCTCCTGACTACAATCATTGTAAGCCTGCAGGCACTGGAAGCATACCGCAGCACAGACACCCACGGCAAGTAGCTGGCTGTGCAAACACTTTTATAACATGGTTGAGGAGAGGGAAGCAGGGAGGGGAACCTGAACTTCCGCTGTAGCTCAGGCATCGGCTTCATTTTTTTCTTGCACTTGGAAGTACTGCAATGGAGCTATCCTGAAAATTCAGTCACTGGCCTCCTGCCAAGTATTTATGGAGTCAACTTTGTACACAAGATGTGAAAACTAAATAAATAAATCCTCAGGATGTCGGATATATGTTCATGAGATAATGTCTTGTCATCAAACTGACTGCAGCTCTTCTGATTTATTTTTTTATTCTTGTTTTTATACGCATATCACAGACTTTTTGTCACTGTAAAATGAGCTGCGAAGTCTGATGAGAGCAATCTTCTTGTTTGTAAAGGCAGAAGCAGCCAAATGAAATCTCTCGTACTGCATCTGACTCATCTTCAGAGCAAAAAAGAGAGACTAGAAGTAACACAGCAGGAGAAACAACAACAATGAGATCAGTAGCCATTAAGTTCCGAAAGAAGCAGAAATGGCAACAGGCATTTCTGGGAAATTTTTAGTATTTCCTTTATCTTCTTATTTTTGTGGAAGATCTTGTTCCCTAAAATCCATGCCATATCAACCAAGACACTTACTGAAAAATCAACAATGCAAAACATACGACTACAAACGACACAAGAATGACCAAAGCAAACAAAACAATTCTCTCAGAAAACACCAGAGTGCACTACTGCATAGTTAAGATAATCTAAAGGCAGACCGAGGAACAACATTATTGAGGTGTGGTTTGGTCTACTTCAGCACAAATGACCCATACACTGCAAACGACCATCTCCTTAGTTTCAGATACTTGATTTTAAGTCAAACAGATTGGATGTTTGGTATTCCTTAATACCTGAATCCCTTGGTGATTTTCTCTGGGGCCAAAATCAAGCTAAAAAAAAACATACACCACAAGAGGTTTGAAGTCCAGCCTCCTGCTCAAAGCAGGGTCATGGTGAATTCCAATGATGTTGCTTAGACTTTGTCCAATTGGTCTTGAAGAACTCCAAGGAGAGAGGTTGCACAGCCTCTCTGGGAAACCTGCTCCCTTTCTCACAGTGAATGTTTTTCCTCATGCCAGGTCAGAACCTCACCTGTATCAATTTATAACTGTCTCTTTGTCTCCTATCACACAAGTCAAAGAGCCTAGTTCCATATTTTTATAGCCTCCTCACAGGTATTGGAGGGCAGCTATTGGGTCGCCCTAAAAGCCTTCTATTCCCCATGCTAAACCAGCCCCATTCCCTCAGCCTCTCCTCACAGGAGTGTGCTTCAGCCCTAACCATCACGGTGGATCTCCGTTAGACTCACTCCAGTTTATCAATGTCTCTCTTCAATCTTAATTGTATGTGCTAAATACACATTCTTTTACATACAAATTTTCTGAATGCATCTTGCTTTGCTTTTCTGGAGGCTTACCTTGTTCAACAGGGAGTATTCATGAAGCTTCTGTAGAAGCCTAAATGAGAGGATCCTGAGGCAGGTGCACCACATGGCCTCACATTGCATTAGCAGCTGCAGAAGTAGGCCTGGATTTCAAGGGTCTTCCTGGCTGCAGGAATCCAGACAAACATTTTAGTGTGATGTCCTCTCTCAAGGAATTAAAGACGAATTGCACCTCCAGTTGAGCAATTTCCTTTGGTACTTACATATACGGGGAGTAACAGGTTAAACCTGCAATGAATGAAACAGCAGGTTTCATTCATTCACAAGGTAAGAGAAAATTGCCCTGAACTCACCACAAATGCTTCTCAATTCATTCTTTCATTAATGAATAGCACTTTCATACCAAAATGGTAAACTAAAATGTCATGACTGTACATTTATAGTGTTAAACACAGTTAAGTGGCAATGTAGCCAACACAATCACAGAGCTGTTAGACTAAGGAGGGGTATTTCAGTTAACATCCCATTTTTGTATCTACTGAAAGTACTATAATTATAGTTAACTGGCTTGCTGAGGGTGCATAGCATTGCCCAATTAAATGTAATCCAAACCACACATCACCTTGTTAGCAAAATCTTCATGCTTCACTATGTATTTTTGATCCTGGATGATTTACAGAAAGCATCTGATGAGAGGTGCCTTTGTTGCACAGATCTTTGATTTCTAGTTCCTACAGTTTCAACAGTGAAGCTTCAAGAAGACATTCCAGACAATACAATGCCAAGCATGGATCCCCATGCAGCCAAGCTCTGCTCTACTGAAATGAGATATGAGTTCCCAAGGAAATTGTGCACTAGCATGTATACGTGACTTTCATCCTCTACTAAACAGAATCAATGATGGCCATGTTTTTTAGACTGTTTCATCAGGAGTTATATAAAGTGTCAGATAACTCTGCTCTGTTGCCTTCTGTGTTCAATGCATATAGATAGAAGAGGGCACAGGGGGAGAGTTTTCTTTCAATGAACTGCTGAAACCTTATCTTCTCTCCTGCTGTCAGGATGGTGGCACTGGTTCCCTTTCCCTTAGATGCCTCTCAGTGAAAGACATCATCTCATCTTTGAGGTCATTTATTGTTGTAACGGACACTATTGCAAAACTTTCAGTCTGCTGGGTGGACTTTGTATCATAAAAACAAATTTTAAGATATTTAAAAGCAACATCTTAAGAAAACCCCCACTCTCCACTTAAGACTTCCAAATAGTTCCCAAGTATCAATCACTTTGAAGCACTGTAACAGTTTGCAAATTAAACAATTAATTTCTATGACAGAAATAATGAATAGATGTACTGCTACATTTTTTCCTCACAATACAAGAGCCTATGAAGGATAATTGAAAATACAAAATGAAGATTAACCATATTAGATTTATGGGTGACAGAAATATACACTTGAGCTTGCATTTTACCAGAATTCAGGCTGTATTTCTGCCTTGCATGTACAACCTCCTGCACTAGTCCTGCACTATTTTACTGAGTAGCAAAAAATTATTACTTGCTTTTCCTTTCCATATAATATTTTAAGAGTCTTGGGGACAGAAATGTTATTTATGTACTTGGTACAAGGCAAAAAGTTCAGTGATTGGGTAGGCAAGCTCTGGAATTATGGATTTTCAGGCAAGAATTGCAAATCTGTGAGTGAAGCTGGATAAGTACCTAAGCATAACTTTGTATTGCATTAATTGTTGAACAGCAATATAGAGTACCCTGTAGTACCAGGTTTTTCTGGTTGTATCCTTGTTGAGAAGCTCGCTTAGGAACAGAAGTTAAAAAATAGTCAGAATATAATGCTTTGTAAATTCAACAATAGGCTATTAGGTCTCACTTTATTGTTTTGATGAGATTTGTGTTGAGTGAGACATAATTTTGTAAGTGCATAGACATGAGTTACCTTTCAGAATACTTACTGAACATAGGTGTTAATATTACTACCAACAGATCCTGACAATACTGAATTCTACAGACACGAGATTAACACCTCTAACCTGCTATGTTTAGAAGTGTACTTTTACCATAGTCTTCTATTTCTTCATTCTTTTTTTTTTTTTTTTCCTGCTGGCTGAAACTTATCATTGTAACATAAATGTAATAACATTGAAAATATTAATATTCATGAAAACATGTTAACAGTGGAAAAATGACTCAGATCTGTAATTTCTTACATATTCTACCAACAATCTCTTAAGAAACAGGTATCATCATGACTTTACACAAGTAGCACCATTTATTCAATATTGTAAGAAAGCACAGCAAACGTTTTCAAAATTCTTATTTTTATTGTTTGCCTTAACTGTAGCATCATGTACAGCTTTCACTTCTAACAAAGCCAAGCACACAAAAACCTGCTCAAGATCATCATGAGTGGAACCTTGGTTACATAAATGCAGTACACACGAGTTAGCTTATCATAGTATTTCAAGTACAGGTCACTCCAGTTTCATGCAGCTTTCAGGGATATTAAAAAGCTCAGTTTTGGGGGTAGAAAACAGCTACAACATTTATAGAGATTACTCATTTTTACATCAAATTCTTAAGTCTAAATTCTTAAACTACAGCAGGGACCCTTCTTCAGCAGATTTTTTTTTGCTCTGCAAAACAAAAAGGAAAAAAAAATTAGTCACTTTGCTGCATTAAGTACAACCAAGATCATTAGCAGACTAAGCACTTAGAGTGGCTCACGCTGCATATATTCCCATTTCTGTCAACAGTTTTCAGGTTTAGATGCCAGCTCCTGGCAGGCTCCCTGAGGTGAAACGTAAGTAGGTATAAAACCAATTACTTCTGTGAGGGCTTTGCCACTTCATATCCTGGCTAAAAACCTGAGACTTACCAGACTAGCCTGTGTGGGATCACCTAGCATGGCTACAGAAACAGATGTGGAAACCAAGACAGTTTGGTTTCATATCTACATATCTATAATATCTATAGATATTATATCTACATGTTGTTTATGAACTACTTTTAAAATGTAAATGGTTAAATATCAACTAGCAGTTTTGATGAACATGGTTTATCCTGTCACAGTCTAAATACAATTCTCTAAATTGCACTTTTTATATGGGTCTAATGTGTTTGTTATTTATCACATTTCGCTGGCTTACATCCAAAAAAAAAAAAGCCCAGGATGGAAGGAAGGACAGAAGGGAGGAACAAGCCCAATTCAAACAGTTAAACCATAGGATTCAGACACACATTCTAACAGGAAAAATACAAGCGATGTTCACTATTTATCAACAGATATAACCACCATCTCAGTATGTACTGAGCACCTCATATGAGGCTGCAAGGGAGTCCTGAACTATTGGATATCAATGGGAGTTTAGGCTCTCCAGACACTCAGAAGTTATAATACAACTGACTTTCCTATTTCAGATTTTAGTTAGTGACCCTAAAGCCTCCTTGTCCATCCCCTTGAGAGATCCCCAGGATTAAAACAAAGATAAACAGAAGTACAATAGGATTACATTTCGGTATGCTCTGCTGTGCTTCAAGACAGAGTTTTACCTGAAGCAAATCCTTAACCTCTAAAGATGCCAATAATGTAGGAGCAGAAACCATGCAGGGATTCCCAGCAATGTTCCCGTGCCAGTTTCATTGCTTCAGTTTCATTTTCAGACCCTTGACCATGTTGGGTTGGTTTTATAAGAGGTAGTATTGCAGGCTTCCCTATTTTCTTAACAGAGCTTTTCCCTGCTCCCCTCACAGAGGCTGAAGTTTTCTGGACTGACTTGTCCTGATTTGCTAGGTCTTCCGGCTCCATACCAGCAGCTATTTGCTTCATGACAGCATCTGCAGGAGCCTTTTGGCACATGGTGGCCTTCAACACTTGTGTGGATTCGCAAGCATGAGGGAGCTTTCTAAGTTCCACGGCAATCTGATTCCAGTAGAGTTTGGGATTGTTTCGGAAAGGACGACAGACTGACGGCTTGCCGGTGTATTCACACCAGTAGGACTTGCCTTGGCTTTTGCATTCGATTCTTAGTTTCATCTCCTCATCCCCACTCATGCTCATGGTGCAGACGTCTTTGGTTTTAGTCCGAAAATTGATTTCTTCACCATTGCTTCTCTTCTTTGGCTTCAGTTTCTGTCCCCATCCTGCCACGCCACAGATCACTACTAGGAAAAGAAGGGCAATGCTCTTCATGGCGAGATCCTTGAGCGAAACGATCCGAGAAAGTGGAAGTCGTAAGTACCTGGCTGCTCACAATTTAAAGGCTCGGTGCACAAAGAAGCCTCTTTCCAGCTAGATGTAGGATGTAAATTTTTTTTTTATTTAAATAATAAATCACCCTTCAGTAGGCATGTGCCCATAATTTATAGCCCAAGGGAGTGTCAAATAACCTGTGAACTCCCAAGAAGGTAACAAGACAAATCTTGTAAATGCAGTTAAATACAGAACGATAGTTGTATAACCGAGAAGCACATTCCTGTCCAGGATGAACATGTCATATTTGATTTTTAACAGGTATTTTCCATTCTTCAGCTGTTTTAGAGCTATCTTCATGCCTGAACTTGTAAAGCCATGTTGAAGTAAAAAAGATAAAAGTGCCAAAACTATTTATGCAGATACGTCTGGATGATTATAAACATGTCCTGCTAATAAAAGCTGATTTGTGCAGTGGCTTTTCTGTGGATTTGCACAGTAAGGATGCAACTTTAGTACTTCATTTTGTCAGCAGTTGACATACACTGTGGACACAGGGAAGAATCAATTGCACAATCTTTAAGTCGTGAAAAATTTTTAGACTTGCAATATTTAAATACTTGCACTATTTAAAAATATATAGGGAATAAGGATTTAGCAAAATAATTTAGGCATAAACATAAATCAGATGTTTGGAAATTTTATAATTACTGTTAATCCTTGGGTTATTTTCAGCCAACAGAACAAGAACTAGCTTATCACAGCTCTCAGCACCAGGGAATACACCCTAGGAGATGTCAAATTTACTTATTTGTGCTTTAACACATATTTGTGCTTTATCAGGTTTTACTTCCACACTCCCTCCCCTTTATTTATTTATTTTTTTAATATTTCCCTGTTTATAATAAATGAGACATAGGTAGGTCATAAAGCAAATACAAGAGAATATAAATATTTTTGTGCAGTTCTGTACTAGCACTTTCTGCAGTAGCTAAAAGCAGCAGAGCTATGGAAAGTTGTGGTAATTCTCTCGGTGTTCAGTTGGTCACAAGGAACTCCCCTCTTGTGCTGCTGCTGCATGACCCAGGACTTTTCTGGCTCATAAGACCCTGTCTTCTCACCTGACACCCAGCCAGCCAGAAGAATCTTGTTGCCTATCTCACACTTCATTCCAAGGATTTCGAAGTGGTACTGGAAGCACTCAAAGACCTCTTGATAACTGAATGAATAAATGCATTGTTTACACTTTCTTAGCACTGAGAATTCCTGGAAACTAAAGACATTCATCTCTTGTTCTCACTAATAATTGATGGAGTTCAAAATTACTTAAAAAATACTTTATACCAGTTTCAGATCTCTAGTTCTGAAAAGTTCTCAGGTGCAATCATGATGACAAATCAGCCTACAAGGACAAGGAGAAATATTGAAGCTTGGACTCAAGAGCTCTGGTGTACTTAAGTACTGCAGTTAATATGTTAACTGCAAACCGTTTGTCCCATTCCCATCCAACTTTTGTGTCCTGCCTGCCTGCCTATACTTCAGATGAAATAGCTCATGGTCTGTAATATCACTGGAAAACACTTGTCCTTTTATAGGTCGGGCTAGATTGCCAGCAGTGAACTGTGGGAACTGAAGGCCTAGAAAATAATTAATTCTGCTATCAGCGCAACAGAAACAAAGATAAGCACTAACAACCTGAGCATTTGCAGGATATGTAGGTGTTCCCCACAATTCATTAGCTCAAATCCTACATCTCTGCATAAATCACACCCTTTGTGGATTTCAGAAGCTCTCTCACACAGAGTCAATATTCTTTCAGTCCTTCCTGCTCCAGTTCTTGGTCTTTTATCTTGCATAAGCTAAAGTCATCAATAAAAGTAAGATATAGGGTAAATTTTTAGTCAGGGTAAAAATAACTCATTTTTGTAAGATTTTAACTGCAAATCTGATACAGGTCTGCGTAACAAAACAATTGAGAATCAAACATCAGTTAGTTAAGCAAGTTCTTTTTTATTTAAGTGAACTGGCAACATTTTCTCAAATTAAAAATAGAAACTTTTAAAAATCTACAGTTCTGAACATTACATATACACATTATGCTACATACTGTCAATTAGAAATGTCTCCATTTATGACCTAAAAATGAAAAAATTAAGGTTATTCCAGATTAAAGACTGGTATGACTTTCCAACATTTCTTTAAAATTATTTGAATGATTTTCAGGATTATCCCTACTTCAAGCTAGTGAACTTCACTGGAAACAGTTAAGAATACTGATATGCAAAGAGACACTATTTGAGATCAATATGCCCAATTATTTCACACTTTGTAATGTTTTACGCTAGTACGATAAATACTTGTGGCTCTTTTGATTAATTCTGCTGTTAACTAATTCAGCAACACAACCGTATGCCAAAATTCAAAGCAATAATGCCAGAATAGAAATTCTAACTCCAGTTGCTGAACGTGTCTGAATTTCAATATTGGAAATGCTATTTTGAAATTATTTAACAAAAATAGTATCACTGCCCCCCAAGGAGGCACAGCTTAACAGTGATACTGTTAAGGATGTTACAGAAGTGGGTGTGAATGGGGAAAAGGGAGTCAGAGAATGTAAAGCATTCTGAAAATCACCAACATTGACATCTTTCATGCTCTTTTTGGGTACTACTGAACTCTAGAAAGCTTAGCTTTTTGCTGTATTAAGCATTACACATACTCCCAACCCTCCCACCCAAACACAGTTTCAAAACAGAAGTCTCCCTTTTAGGTCTATGCTGCAAAAAAGCACTAAAAATTAAATCATAATTAGAAAAAAAAAAAAAGGAAGAAAAAATGCAACTGAACTTTCAGAGACACAAAGAGACACTGTGCATCCCATTACAATTAAAATTTAGTCCAAATTGTTCATTCAAGAGCACCAAATAGCAACACTGATCATGCTGGTAAATTCATTTGTGAAATGTATTATACAATATTAAAATCTTAACTAAACACTCATAAGTTTTAAGAAAAACATATATACAAAAGTCTCTGTATACAAAATGTATTTTTATGTAAACGTGTATGTACTGTATTTAACGCATCTCAACAATTTAAAATAAGAACTTGACCAATTGTCAAAGGACTAAGCAAAGTCAGTTAATCTAATTAATTTATATCCTGTGATGTAAGATAGAAAGCCCAGTGTAAAAAAGTAAAAAACAAAAAACCGTTTTAATTCAAGCCTTGAACAGTGGTATTTGAGAGGCAGTGCCCTGGTCACAAAAGATCCTGTACAGTAGTTTATGGCATAACATTCAATAGTACATTTGTGATTTACAGTGTGGGTCACATAAAACAAGTGGCTCAGTATTTTGAAGATGAATGTAAATGCCAATACGCTTGGTAGAGTAACGATACAGTCCCATAGAAGAATCTTGAGCCTCATTTCTGTAGCCTGGAAATAATTACAAAAACAAGTCAGGAAAACTTGATGAAGACACAATTCTAACGTAATTTAACCAGAACAAAGGCATAGATTTTCATAGGAACACAAATATGGTTCAATACGTTTTTAAAATTATTTTTAGATCTTACAACATTCATATTACTGAAAACAGAATAGTCTTAAAAATAGGAAAGTAGGTCTGGAATTGACTCTAAAAGCTTATTGCTTACCCCTTAAAGTTTCCAGTATCTGTTACCACTGTTCCACAGAGCTATACAAAAAAAAAGCAAACAAGCAACACAAATCAGAATCATAACTTTCTTTTGTCCACAGACAGAACAGAAACAGAGTGTCTAGCTATAAGGCTCATTTGGTACAAAATCCTTCTCAAACTTCCACTTATTTAATGAATAACTTTTCAAGAAAGAGAAAATAGTTTTCTGGTTTACTCCACCAACCTCTCCTCTTACCTTTGTTTTAGGATAGGAAGAAATGTTTGGGTTACCAATTCAACACCAATCTTCTTTGAAGAGCCTAATCCAGCCTCCAATTTTATCCTCTCAAAGTGTTGTCTGCATTTGAGGTTATTTATATCTTTAACACTTGCTTTAACATGTATATCACCTCTATGTGAGGTATCTATATAAATGTAAACACACCTCATGGTTCTCCTACTTGTATTTACATATCTCGTATTTATAAAGAGAGAGATTTGCATCTCCTTTTAGCAAAACAATTCAGCTGGTTTCCAAGGACAAAGAAAACTATGCAAAAGTGCAGGTGTACAGAGACCTATTCACAGTCAGATCTCCCAAAGTGTCTAAAATCCTTGCAGAAAAAGCAAGGATCATTTAAAAATAAACAGCTTGCTCAAATAAAAATGAAGAATAAGACCTTACTCGTATGAGAATCCTGGACTAAGGAACCCAATGCATGTATCTAACATAATCAGCAGTTTTTCAAATGATTTGAGTTAACTTTTCAGAAGAAAGTATTGCTTCAAACAGAATTCTTACGCCATATTACAGAAGGCAATTTTGAGTAACTATTAAAATTTAGAAAAAGGAAGTCAGAATTGAACTAGTGGCTTTAAAATATTATTTTATGTTAATTTTTAGCTTATTCAGGAACACTGTATTAACTATTAATCAATTCCTGAAGTATCATGAAAAACATGCTCTAAACTTCAAGATTATTAACATTCATATTAAAGATTCAAAGATCAGAAAGGGACTTCTAAGGCCTGAGCAATTATTAGTTTCCTCTTATGTAAGATATCAAAAGTCCTGAAACAGTTCTTAGACGTGCCAGTGGACATTAGTTTTGAATCAGATACCTTCTAGATTTATTTAGGGAATCTTTAAACTGCAGCACAGATGACGACAATCCTGATCAGATCACTGAAAACACTGTTATATATAAATACTTATTTAGAAGGAAACGTGGAATCCAGATTTGGTCACTAATAATTACTGTAAAATACACTTCTAACAAACAGTAACATGCAGCTGATGCAGCCATAAAATCTGGCAAGATTTGCAAACTTTCCATTTTCTTGATGTTTAATCAT